GAGTTTACTGTGAATTTTTGCGGTAAAAACCGTATCGGGAGTTTTGGTGTATACATAAATTCAGAAACCTGGTATAACTGGAAGCGGAATTGCAGTGTTTTTTGCTTTGTTTGGGTTTTTTTAGGAAGAAATTTTTAGTTGTACTAATCCAATGAGAGATTGGTATTTGGCTCACCGTAGTTAGAAATTCACTAAAATAATTTGTGAAACTGTAGCTGGTTGCTCTTTTCATTGTCTTAATTTAAGCTCTTGTAATGGAGTGTCCACTGCAGGGCTAGAATTTCACTTAAGGCCTGAATCTGTCCTGAAGAACTGAAAATTGTGCTTTTACTGCTTTTTGATAATGTAAGAGTCAACAGTGTCAGTTTATACGTTAATTGTTTTAAGTGAAACACGTTTCTCTCTGAAAATTCGGGGTGTAGGGGGGATGGACACCAGGTTTACAAATTAATATAGTCGTGTCCTTTCCAAAAGAAGAAAATAATCATGTAGTGCCAAAATGATGACTAGTGATAGGACTTAATAATATTGTTGGGTATTTTTTAATATATCCATGTGGTAAGACATAATAATAATAAGCTAATAATACTTCAGGCAATAATGAGGAACTAAAAGCAAACGAAACTGAATGGGATGAGAAATCTTCCTTTATCTCACTAAAGCCGCTGTTGTTTCAGTAATTAATAGGAGATGCCTTCCAGAGTGAGTGGCTTCATCATCTCTCGTTTACAAAGGTTTTAATACCTTATCCAAATGGCTGGCGTTAAATACCCGAGCAAGGACAAAGTAGGCTGATCCACTCTGCTGTGGTTTATGTATGTAGTTGTTTGTTGTGCTCTTTTAATCCATGGCTAGGTTTAGTGGTAGAGTAGCATACAGAAATTTGGGAGTGTGATAACTGTAGATATTTTTTGAACAATTCTGCAGTAATGGGTATGCAGAAAGTCTAACCTAAAGCGGAACAGAAGCCACTGCTAAAAAGCTTGGGAGAGTTTGTTCGAAGTGATAATGAAAACAGTAACCAGCAGTCTCTTGTTCTCCCCAGCTACGTTGTCCTGTCCTCTTCTAACTAGTAGTCGTCAAACGGGAACCTTACAAGTTGTCTTCTGTAGCTGGTCTGTAGTTTCACTGTGTCTCAGAGGGAAGTTTCCTTATGTACGAAATTGTCTGCTGTTGTTTTTTTTCTTTCTAGCTTCCCTTCTCAATTTGTGATCAGAAGACAGGAGGGGACATCCCTTCCAATCTTTCTCCTTTGCTCTCTTCCACTAACAAATGCTGAGACCTGACTGAAAACTTGTGAATTTGAAAGACTTGTTGATCTCTGGCATCACTGTGTCTTAAAATTCCTCTGTCCTTCAGGTTCTCCTTAGTAATAGTTTACTTCAGTGGAGTATGATAGTATGGGGATAACTTTTTTGTTTGTTTTGTCACACAAACATTTTTCATGTTAATCCTTAATGCTCTTAAGGAATGTTGCTGGTTCATGCTTTATTTATCTGCTCTTGGAACAACTGTTACCTATTTCCTAACTCTTTCAGGAACAGTATTCACTTTAACCCAGAATCTTTATAAGCTTCTTGCAGAGTTTGGTCTTATTTTTGCTTAATGAATGGTTGGCCATTCCTCTTCAAATTTTAGAAGCTGTCAGTGAGCTCAAAATTTTCATTCCGGGAGAGGTCATGGATTTACTTTGTCACTGTTGCATAAAATGTACAGAATTTTGCATCTTCTAGAGTGCTGCTTGAACTGAAGTGGTGTTACAAGGGCTGGGTGGGCTTTTGCTGGCTTGCAGTGAATGTTGAGGTGTTGAAGGGAAATAGTGGTTTATCTATTTTATGTTTCTCCTGGCTTGTATGGGATCAGTTTATTTTGTGTAGGACTAGAGAGAGAGTGTGTGCATGCTCAGTATTTGTGTGTGTCAAAATTAATTGACCTAAACTGATCTTTGGTAAAATTCTGAAGATGATACATTTGCATCATCTTTTTCTGATCAAAATAGCATTTCTGTATGTTAGTTTTTGATGATGAACTAAAGGACGCCATTTTTCTATTAAAAGTACAGAAAGTACATCTAAAAAATGTAGGAAGTTCTTCTGCCAGAACTTTTTTTCATTCGGGGAATGTTTTTTAGTAAAAGTACAATTTAGTCTTGAGCTCGTCTTGTAGTAAACGGAAGATCTGGAGAACATGAGAGTTTACTACCTTTATGGTTCCATTGATCAATCGAGCTCTCTCTTCCCCCTCCCTTTTATTCTTTGAGTTTATTCTGAGGTTTAGTCATTTTAAGTGGTTTGATGGCATCCTGTGACAATTCACGTGAAAATGATTTCTCAAATAAGTTTTCTTGCTATGAATGAAAACACTTTTAAAATCAGCTGTTTATTGTGAGGAAAGCTAATGAAATAACTGTTGATTTGCAGATAGTTCACTTCTCTTTCTTAGAACCACTGGACAAAACCCAAAACCAGATCGAAAAGGACAGATATGGTATTTGGTGTCTAATAATAACAACTTTCTGAAGTCTGTTGCCTTTATCTTACAAATATTTATGAAGTCCATAAATAGTTTTTGGGGTTTTTTTCCCCTTGTTTGTGTTTTTTAACTTCCCCTAAGAAGTTACCTTGCTCTGCTGGTTATTCACGGATAAAATGCAGGATATTGCTTATAAGAAATTATAAGAATTCTTCAGTCTTTACTTAAACACAGTAAATACTAGAGTGGTAAATGAAAAGTAGAAGGAGGAGTCTAGCAGAGCAATTTTAATTGTTATGATTAGGTCTGTGTGGAAGGCGATTAGCTACTGCATGGTCACAGAAGACATGTAATTGCATCAACATTGTCTTAAGCTCTTGAGGGAAAAATCAGCAAATGGTTGTTTATTTTATGTTGTCATTGAAATTCCATGATATGCTATCCCTAATGTTTCCTTTCTTGTTTCAGTTCTGTAGAAAGTGTTCTGAAAACACTTGTGAAGAGCTGCAGACCGTAAGTGTTTCTTGGTTTGCTTTTTTTTAAGCCTGTATCTTTAATATTACTTTTAGAGGGGGAAGAAAAGTGTTTAAAAAAAGAAAAAAAAAAGTCAAAACCCACCAAAAAAACCCACCCCAAACAAAAGCCACACCCCACCCTACTACTCATTCCTTGGCTGATGTTGTCCCAACTTGTTGAAGAAGCTTGGGGTGGGGGGTAGAGACTTTTCTCTTTTACTGCATTATGAATGATCGATACCTCAGGCTTGTAGGTTGCTTAAAATGAAAACAAAATGACAGGCATGTTCTGTGGTGTAATATTTAAACAACGTGTAAGGTTGGTTTTTTTTCCTTTTTAACAGCCTCATTTGAAAAATCTGTTAATAGTTAGTTAAGCTAGGATACCACTAGCTAAGGCCGCCACTGCTTTTGATCTTTTGTGCTCTTTTTCGTTCGCTGGGGATCTGTGTGACTGAACCAGTCTTGCCCTCTGCACTAATTGACGTTGTTAGCAGCTTAAGATACTGCAAAGATGCAGAGAAGAGACTTGTTCTCTTTATTTACCGTTCATACAGCCATTTGTCTGCTTTCATGGGAGCAGTTTTCACACAGTGCTGTTACTCCATTGAGCATTCCTATAGGAAGTGCCGTTCTAAACACATACTGTTAGTATGAGGAACATAAGGATAAAGCAACCTTACGTTTCCCCCAAACATACGTGGTTTTGTAGCTAAATAAAAACCCTTAGTTTTCGATGTTGATTTTTTTGGTATCTGTTATGAATACGAAAGTCACTGAAGCAGTGTGTTTTAAAAATGAAAATGTGATATTTGTCTCTTGAAAATTCTGACTTAAGGTTGGGACACTGATAAGGTTACTTTCAACTGGCCCCATATCAACTGCAATAATTGTGTTGTATAAACAGTTGCGTGTGGTATGCATTTTAAATACTGCATTGCATGGATATTTAGTTTCTTTCAAAAGAAATTAAATAACCACTTTGGGATTCTTGTAATGTTCAGATAAATGTTCCTTGTGCCTTAAGCCATCTTTTGTTATATTGCATCAAATGTGAATGCTAGTTGTTTGGTTTTGACTGGCCTTCATACCGAAATGCTTTTGCATTGTACAGAATCTTTTCTGGTTCAACAAGACAAGAATCTTCTTACATTTGTGGTCTATAAAATGATGCACCATGACGTCCTTGATCTTAACTTTGTGTTTTGGGAAGGTTAAGTGGAGTTGAGGACTGCCTATCTGTTGCCCCTGGGTACATGGTCTTACTGTGAAGCTAAGATTTCCATGACAAATTAGTAGATAGTTTTAAATATGTTTAAACAAGACCCAAATTTTAAAGCTAAGCCAGTATATGTTCCCTGGTTTCCTTGTTTTCAGATATTTTCCAGAAGATGCCACTGCGGAGATGCTAGATGAATGGAGGCCTTTAATGTGTCCGTTCGATGTTACCATGCAGAAGGCTATTACCTACTTTGAACTATTTCTGCCTACCACCCTTCCTCCTGAACTTCACCAGAAAGGTTTCAAGTAAGTGTAATTGAATGTCTATCGGTATAGTATTTTGTTGGAAATACAAGAGATTATCTTTTACAGGATGACTTGAAGTCAACCAGCAAAATGAATGGTGGCTTTTAACAGCATTTTTGGAAGGAGTTCAAGACAGAAATTCTGTCAGCATTCATCTTTTGTAAAAGTAACCCAGGGGAATCTTAGTACCGATTCTCTAATGAGTTCTCCCTTCTCTACAGTAAAGCACACAGTATACAGCAAAGCAAGCTAAATTGAATTAAATGCACTTTAATTCTGAAGGAAGAGTCTCACAAGTTAAAATCGTTAACCATAGCACAGCTTTGAGTCCTACCTTTTATTTAATTTGAGGTAGCTTCTGATGAGTCCTTCATGGAGGTTAAAGTGCAGCTGTTAGTACAAATTTGGGATTGTGAGGTAGAGATCTTCAGTTCACTGTCAAGGTTGTGGAAGTGTGCGATGGTCAGAAGGCTGGTGTAGGAAACAAATTTGAGAATTAAAGGAGAAACATTTGCAGGACCGGGCAGTATCTGGGTCATCTTTAAGGCAGAACTATTGCACTTCGAAACCTAAGCCAGTGATGTTTAGTGCGTGTAGAGATTACTTACGCTGGTTAGGTTAAAAGTATATTTGTGATACAGGGTTAGTGGAAACTTGAAGGAAGGAAGTGCATATAGTTTATAAAGGTGAATTTAAGTAAGGGACTGGTATGGAGGGTTTGCGTCCTTGGCTTCAGATGAATTCAGAATAGAAGCTAATGACTCTTGTAACCGTTGGTCAATAGGGACAAATTTCAGATTTTAAGGTAGAGGGAAATGAAGTGCGATTTGTTTTCATCTGTTTTACCTGTGTTGGGATGACGATATGTAATGAAATGGTAAAGCTGAAGTAGGTAAGGAAATTCCTGGTGAAACACTTATGTGAAAAGCGGGGATCGGAAAAGAATAAGAAGAGGAGAGGTAAAAGAAGCAAGGACTGAAACTCAGGATCAGTTTGGGGGTAGGGAGGATGCTGTGGGAGACAAAGTGATACAAGCATGTCCATGTTGATCCCTGTTCTTGTTGAGTGAGTTAAGGGGCAGATGCGTTCCTGTGACCACCTGGCAAAGTGAGGGGTAAATATCCAGTGAGGGAGCTGCTTTCACAACATTAAAATTATTTTGATTCTGTTCTCTTGCAGGCTTTGGTTTGATGAATTCATAGGCCTTTGGGTGTCCGTTCAAAATCTTCCCCAATGGGAAGGGGTAAGTATTTATTTTTCACCTACACTAGAAGAAATCCATGGTTAAATATTCCTACAATGTGCTTGCAAGGCATTGAAGTCAAACAGTGATATAATGTTTTGGTTTTTTTTTTTCCTTCTGCTTTTACTAGTACAAGAAAGCAGAGACAATAATGTCATGATTATTAGCAAGCAACTACTGGCTGAGTAAATGAGACTGTACTTGTGCTTGGTGAACATTGTTTAACGGCTAGCTCAGGCAGCTTTTCTTTCCAGCCTTGGGAATGCTGGCATTTTCCAGGTGGTCTGCTAATGCTTACAATGATGCAAAGTGCTATTTTGATGCCTATAAATTACAATTCTGCAAAGTCCCATCTTTTATATCTTAACACATCTTTCATGATCCCTAATTTTGAGTAGTAATGCTTTGCCTTGACTGTAATGAGTTGTAGTCATCTTTATTCTAGGTACAGTAACGAACCTGGACTCCCTTTGGCCAAAAATACCATTGGGCTATATCTTTCAAGGAAAGATACCATGTACCTGTCTGCCTTTTTTGTGTGCGTCTCGTATGACTAGATACAAAGTTGGGAAATAAAATGAAATCTCATTCTTGAGACACCACCACCAGCAGCTTAGGCGCTATTGCTGTCAGCTGACCTGTGCCTTGGCTTTGCCGCAGTGAATCTGGCGTATTAACAGATTTTTTCCATACTCAGTATGAACGTAAGCTCATTGACCATCTGGCTCCTTTTACTAATCTCCTGCCTATGTACACAAGGAGGACTTCTTGGTGTCTTTGGAGAAAGCTGATTTCCAAAACACCATTGAATGCTACCTTTGTAGCACGTTCCGTTTCTGGCAATTTCTTTGTGAAAAGGCTTGTCTGTAGGTCTTTCTGGTTTGAGTTACATTTCAGCACAAATAAAGGAAGGCAGTCTTCGTTGGCAATTGTCCAGATTTGAACAGGGGTGGTTGCCAAAGTTTTATCTGAGATTGTCTGTAGACACTTTTGCATCTTTCTGATGGCTATCCAAAAAATCACAGTTCTGTCTGACAGTTTGTCTATCTTTCTGACAGAAAGATGACAGCCTGCACTTTAATATCATGATTTGGTTTGTTTCTGTCAAACGGTGTAACAAATAATCATCAACACACTGATATTTTTTCCCTCTTGCACTGTATTCTGACAGTTTGCTTGGAAGGCCCAAATAATTCTACTTTTTCCCCAAAGCTTTCACTTCTTGTTTCCTTTGCTGTCTTGTCCACTTCTTAAGAGAAGGCTTGTTCATTTCATCAAGCTTGGATGCAGATAACTAGACATATGGGTTCTGACTATGCAATCCAATTTAAGCCTCTGTATGCTGCAAGCTTTTTCTCAGCTTGCTTTGGCAGGAGTTGGACTTGCTGTTTGAAGGGGAGCTGTAGAATCAATTGCCTTTGTGCATGGTAAGGGGTTTTTTTCAGTGGGTATCTCCTAGTATCAAGCAAAAAAGGTAGATCATTTAAGCAAATAAACACTTGTCTTCAGGCTGTGTCAGATGTGACTGTCCTGAGTTGAATTCGTGGGTTTTCCAAAGCTATCATGTCCTTCAGAGTGAGAGGTGAACTGTTGTTCTGTGAATATTGTCAGTACCTGCTTTGTAAGTGCTCAGATGAGTGACGAGTTAGACTCCTGAAGCTGTGAATTCGGATGCATTATGAAATGGCTTCTGATAGAGTGAAATCTCCCTTTACAAGTGCTTTAGTGCTATGTGTAGCTTTTATCTTGCATCTGTAAAGTAGATTCAGGGGTTTGTGTGTCTTTTATTATAAATATAGTCTAATGAATATTTCCTTATTTTATGGTTGTTTTCAGCATCTGGTAAATCTTTTTGCGCGCTTGGCCACTGACAACATCGGGTACATAGACTGGGATCCGTATGTACCAAAGGTAATACTTTATGAAATTTCATTTTATGAAATTATTTTGTTTGCTTTGAGATAAGTCTTCAGTGTTACTATGCTAAGAGTAATTCATATTCCCTGTATGGGTCTTACACTGCAGTGGCCCAGTTTTTCAAATTAGGTGCATTCATTTGAAGACCTAAGTTTAACTTCTGAAAATTTGAGCCATCCTTTTGTAATAGACAGCATCGGAAGTTGTTACTGTTATCATCTGATTCCAAACCAAAGCAACGACGTACCTTACTATACAAGTACTGTCTGATTGTATAACTAACCCCGTGTTCTTGTGGAAATGGCTCTTAATGGTATTCTTTAATAGTGCGTATGACCTTCGAATCTTCCGGCTTACTGATTTTTTTTTTTTTTTTTTTTAAGGTATTCATAGCTTTTACATTGTTTAAAAAAACCTGAAACCACCAAACACCTTTTGATTAGAAAATCAATTTATGCCAGTTTTATGGTGTAAATTAATAAATTAATTTATGCCATTTTTTTCTTTTTTTTCAGATTTTCACCAGAATTTTGAGGAGTTTAAATCTTCCAGTTGGAAGCAATCAAGTTGTTGTTCCAAGATTCTTAACAAATGCTTATGATGTAGGACATGCGGTAATGTGGATCACAGCCATGATGGTTAGTAACTTTTTCATAAAGTGAAACAAAAACTGATGCAAAGCTTTAAGCAAGTATGTATTTAAAATTCATGTTTTTGTTCTGTTTAGCTTGCTGCAGACACGTGTTTTTAGGCTGTCTTTGTTTTAAAATATGTTGTTTCACTGTCAGTTTGGAATGTGGATGGGAAGGTTTATTTTGCAGCCGCTGTCTGGGGCATTCTGGAACTGAACAGCCAGCTCCGAGTGCCACTGTGGATACACGCTTGGGACCTGCTGAAATGACGCTCTTAGGGTGAACCTCGTCAGATCAGATGGAGAGAACGTGCTGCTTAGTGCTGAGCTGAGGGTGGGGAAGGGAGGGAATTTGCAGATGTGATTTGATGCTTGGAGGTATCCGAGAGTGCTCGCTTGTGCCTCGTACTACTCTGTTACCTGTTCATTTTAACTTATTCCATGTAATAAAATTCTGTGCTTTATTTTTTCCAGGGTGGACCAAGTAAACTAGTGCAGAAGCACTTGTCTGGATTGTTCAATAGCATTGCCTCTTTTTACCATCCTTCAAATAACGGGCGCTGGCTGGTGAGTTTTTTGCGTGTCAAGACAATAACTTTGGCTGTAATTTCAACAGTCGAACCTGTCAAATCAAACATGCTGATAGATGCACTGTGTGCTCCAACAGCCAGATTGTTGGTTGTATAATATTTTGAGGCTTTAATTTTCAAGACGTGATTGTACTGTCATTCAAATCATACTTTTGTCCTGATGTCAGGATCACAGCTAATGGGAGTATTCTTCAAACATCTAACCGAAGTGCAGTTTAGAAGTCCAAAACTAGACTTCTAATTCATATATAGCTAGGAAAAAGAAGTCAGCAGTTTAAAGGATGGTGATGTACAGCATCACTATGACTTGTGTGACATAGCTTTCATATTACTGACCTACTGTCTCCAAGTCGGCAAAATCTAGTATTAACCAAAGCAAAACAGATTTTTGGTGCATATCTAGTTTGATAAAGCGTACCTTTTTGACGGTGTGGCTAGTGGAGTCGTCTTCTAGAGCATGTAAGAATCTCCCTGTGATAGCTGGTAGAAAGCATGCGTTAAAATAGCAAGACTGGTCAAAGCAATGCCAAAGGAGCTGACTTGTTCTAGAATAGGATATTTGCTTACATGTGAATGTGCAGAGAATGCTCTCAAGGATGTCCTAGTTTACTGGTAAGTAATCTTGATTCTTGACTATATCCTTTGTATATATTTGTCATGATTTTTTAAATCATAAGGTACAGTGCTGGCAGCATAATTGTTAGTATTTTGGGAACTGAAGTTTAACAGTAAATTGTGACATTGCGTTTTAGAGCTCGTCTGAGTTTTATTGTAGTTGTGTAATTTCAAGATATTGGCTTATTAATTGTCTGTTGTACACTTAGCAGCTCAGATTCTGCTACTGCCAAGTAATTGAAGAGCATTTCTTGTATATTCAACAGAACAAACTGATGAAACTACTTCAGAGGTTACCCAGTGGTGTTGTCAGAAGGCTGCATCGTGAGCGCTACAAGAAAATCACTTGGCTAACTCCTGTGCCTGATAGTCATAAACTTACTGATCAGGATGTTACAGACTTTGTAGAATGCATTATTCAACCTGTTCTTCTGGCTATGTTTAGTAAAACTGGAAGCCTGGAGGCTGCCCAAGCCCTGCAGAATCTTGCACTGATGCGTCCTGAATTAGTAATTCCACCTGTACTTGAGAAGTAAGTTCTGCAGAAACACTACAACTTCCCTGTTCCCTTCCCAACAAGTATGCAAAGCAGCCATATTAAATGATAAGTAAGTTCCTTGCTGTGAATGAATGCTTGCAGTGAGAGGAGCTGCTAATACACGCCCCAAGCAATCACCTGAGTCAGGATAGGCAGTGAGGGAGGACTTTGGGTTTTATTTTATTTGTTTTGTTTTTAAACACCTGGCAAATGAAATAGTTCTGGGAGCTGTTGGTAGCCTGCCCAATATAGGGCGGTAGTTATCTGGTGGTTTGCATTTCTGTTGGCATTTTGTATCGGATAGTGGGTGGATCAGTTGAAAAAGCAACTTTGTACCCTTTATTCATGAGCCGCCTTGTACTTTCTCACTAGCTTTCAATTGGGCCAAATATAAATGATGGTATTGCATGTTTGTGTAGTAACAAGCGTATGTTTTATATTGCTGTCTTGTCAGAGCATGTTACAGTTACAGATTGTTTAAGATTACTTCTGACTTCATAAGCAAATCACTAAAGTATGTGCCCATGTAAAATAGTTAGTTTGTACTATTAATAATGCCTTGGTGCCTGAAATTCCACCAAAAAAAAAAAAAAAAGTAACTCCGTCCTGCCCCAATGAAAAGGTTTCTTCCTAGTCCCTCTCCACATTCCCCCTCCTATGCGGTCTTTTGTTCTTTAACTACTTGTAACGTAAAACCAATGGAGAAATGAGTTTGTCTGGAAGAGCCCTTCCTGAGTTCCATACCTTCCTGACTCAGCTGTTTGTAAAAACTTGATAAATCTGCGCTTACGTGAAAACATTTCAAGCATAACAGTCCTAAGAAGGACAGCAATGGATGCCTGTATTGGGTATGACTACTTTTTCGGTTTTGAGAGCAGACTGAACGTCTGCTCAGTAGTTCAAACTATCGCTGGTATGTTTGCCTTGGCTGCAGTTCCAAATTCATTTTGTTGAGGAGACGTAGGTCCTTTGCGCTTTGAATGATGTAGGGCAAGGGTAGCACTGTGACTCTTGTTTGAACTGTAGGCTGTTGATAACAGTAGGAAGTGGTGTGCAGTTTGCTAAAAAGTACGTAGTATAAAAAAAAGTTGCAAAATCACAGTAGCTTAACAGGTTTTTATAAAAAAGATATGGACTTTAATGTAACATTAAGAAATATATCCCTTATCTATTTAGGGGTAGTCAATGCTTTTGATGCTTGCCACAAGAGCCTTACACTTTTAAGTACACAGCTTGCATTAGCTTAGAGTTCAAACACAAAAATCATCACAGCTTTGAATCTAGGGGCCCATACAGTCATTAATTCCTATGCTGCAACTGCTAGTAAATTATTTAATCCTGAATTTGTTGTGAATAGGACTGACCAAATGAAAGGAACACTTTCTAACGGAGCAATGTTAAGTCCATTGGAAAAAGATGAAAAAAAAAATTTTAGATCCATTGATTAGCTTAAATTTTTCTTGCAGAAACTTTGTACCCTTTCTGTAGGAAATAACATGTGCAATCCGCTTTTATTTTCTTTGAAGACTTTAGAAACATTATTGTTCCTAATATGACTGCTCTTCAACTTTATAGAACATATCCTGCACTTGAGACATTGACAGAACCTCATCAGCTCACAGCTACTTTAAGCTGTGTAATCGGAGTGGCTCGTAGTCTGGTGTCTGGGGGGAAGTGGTTTCCTGAAGGTCCAACACACATGCTACCTCTGCTGATGAGAGCATTGCCTGGGGTGGATCCAAATGACTTCAGCAAATGTATGGTGAGTGTATAAATCTTACCTTTTTTTTTTTTTTTAGAAGGTAGTTAGCCAACTAGTTCACTCTGAAAGCATTTTTTTACATTCGTACGAAAGTGAGTAACTCATGTTTACAGAATTTCTTAGTCTGATTTTGTTCCTGCACAGTTTTATTTGTAAAGAGTTAATATTACAAGCCTCTAACTTACGATAATGCTTCTGGCTTGCTGGACAATGCCAAGTGAATCTTTAACACCGGATTGTGATAAGCATTGTACTGACTTTTTGGGCAGCTCTAAAAAAGCAAGATAAAATACATGTTCCAAAGCTCCTACCAAATATTCCTAGTCTTTTAAGATCAATAGGAAGACCTTTATCACTAGGTCTTCATTAAATTAGGTCCTAAAAGCCCGCACCTTCAGGAATTCATATTAATTGACTATTCAAACAATGTAAACATTATAGGGGTTTTGTAATTTTAAAGTTCAGCATAAAGTAAGTGTTACTTTACTCGGAAAATTGAGGGGGTTTTGTGCAGTGTTAGCTGGTAAATTTTATACATGAAATCAGAAATAACTGTTGAAGTTTTGGGGTGGAAGAATTAGGCTCTGGAATTTCTTTAATGTAATGATTTGCTTTAACTCCCATACTTTAATTGCAAAAGCTTTTTAATATGTAGAATACAGGAACATTTATTAAAGAGCTGTTTGCAACTCTCAACAGATTACATTCCAGTTCATTGCAACGTTTTCTACTTTGGTGCCTTTAGTAGATTGTTCATCTGTATTGCAAGAGAGAGATGATCTTTCAGAGGTAAGAGTGCTGTGCAGTTATAAAAACAAAAACAAAACTATAACCTGGTTTTCATTTTAATTTCTAGCAATGTAATAGCCTCTTCAGAGTTGTAACAGGTTTGCTACTCTCTTTTTTTATACATGAAACTACTTTAAACAAAAATGCAACAAAAAACCGAAAATGTGGATCAAGTTTGCTTCTGATCAGTGTGGTAGAGCTGACATCAGCGTGCAAATTCTTATGTATTCTTACGTGCACGTATTCTTAGCGTTGCTTCTTAGTGATAGGTGTTGTAGAGATAATGTTAAATTGAAACAGTTTAATACTTTTATGTCAAAACTTAGCTGCACGAAGCCCTGTGTAGTGTAATTCGACTCTGAGCTTGCCCTGCTTTGATTAGGAGGTTGGACTACGTGGTGTTCCAGGGGTCCCTTGCCATCTCATTTTTTCTGAGTCTAGTAAAATAGCGGCTTTGTTACCGTTAAATTTTTGGAACTTCTTGCCACCATAAAACATTAACATAATGGTAAAGAAAAACAGAAAAAAGCAGGTGACCACAGTGTTGCCGTAAGATGTATATACATCATTTCTAGTTCAGAACTAGTCCAGCTTAGAGCAAGGTAAAAGGTAACTAACTGATTGTCTGGGAGACTCTGGAAGGAATTTGGTCTCCGGTTGTTGAAAACTTCATATGTGTTTTTAAAAAAAAAAAAAAACCAAAACAAAAAAACCCAGCTGTTTGTATTTGTTTTTCAAAAAACTAATGCACTCTAACTTTTCAGGGCTGTTTTTCTCCTATGGGAAATAATTTCAAAACACTTGCACCTCTTTAAAATGTTCCTGCAGTCATGCTTCTCTTTTTTTCTGATTAAGATTCTATTGCTTTCTCTTCAGATGGTTGTTAATCTCTTGCAGTTAAGAGATAGTAACCTCATCAGACAGTGAGCCTCATCTCCTTCTTCTGTGTTTTATGCTTTGTTTGCTGCTTTGGAGTGCTGTTCGTATTCATCTCTAGTTTTAGAGCTCCTTGCACTCCATTTCTCCAGCATTGTTCTAATGCTTTGTCCTTTTCCACATAGCAAAAAATACAGGAGAGAACAGAAAATAGTTTTTCTGTCTATCGCTAGGCTTTTGAGTCTGCTTTTGATACAGCAGTTGAAGCACAGATAGTGAAGCTTTTTTGGCATATTACAAATGGGGCAGCAGCAGTAGTGTCTGCTATGGTGGTTTCAACTGCCATGTAAAATGTCTCATTTTACAGAGAGGACTCTTCTTGCAGCTCTGAGAACAGCTAGTAGCTACAGATTGCACAGATTCTGAGTGCTCAGCTACTGGAAGAAGGTTAATTTCATTGCCCTAGAGCTGCAGCACTCAAAAACTAAGAGGAGTTTGTACGCTGAACATTCAATATAAATATGTCGGCAGAGCCAAGACTGCCACCACAGTTGGCACTCACTGACCTCCTGCTGGAAAGGAGGATCAGTAGTAAGGCCAAAGGTTGTATCCATGGAGGCAGACCTGATTTCACCCCGAGAGGTTATTTGGCTGGACATCAAGGCCAGGAAATTTGATGGGACAGTGTAAAGAAAATGTAATAATCGTTTCATGTGGTGTACTCGAGACTACTACTCAAACTTTAGTGGGAAGTGCACTGTACTCTGTATATTTTAGAACTTGGAAGCGTTTTTTAAGTAGTTAATATAGGAAATAAACTTTGTTGCCTTAAGAAAAGCCAACCGTTTGTGCTTTTTTTTGCATTGGAAAACTGTAGGTGGAAAGAGAATTGTGCTCTGCAACTGCTGAATTTGAGGATTTTGTTCTACAGTTTATGGATAGGTAAGTAAGCTAAGGGTAGGTGAAAGCTTGGCACGAAGAACTTAATAAAACTTTCAAGTTCCACTTACTAAAATTGTACTTATTGTATTTGTGTAGATGTTTTGGACTTATAGAGAGCAGCACACTAGAACAAACCAGAGAGGAGACTGAAACTGAGAAAATGACTCATCTAGAGAGTCTAGTGGAATTAGGTCTCTCTTCTACTTTCAGTACAATCCTTACTCAGTGTTCAAAGGATATCTTTAAGGTATGTAGAATATGGGCTTTCCATCTAACTTTTTAAGAGGCTTAATTTTCTGTTGTGGATGACGGGTGCATTCAGACTCTTCCTTCCTTCATTGTCCTGTTGCGAACTTCAACCTTTAACCAAGGAAAGGGCTGGGGGGGAAGTTTAGCACTTCATGTCAGTTTGCTTTGTGATTTTGTGTACATCAATACAGAGCTCTTAGGTTCTTGATGCTCTCTTAGGAGAAATCGTTCTAACAGCTCATTTTATCACTTTATCATTTTGGGCTGTGATTTTTCATGTCTTTTGACGGTAATGCTAACCTACCCAATCCCCTGCTTTCCTTTTCTCTCCCTCTCTGTGCCATTTCTTCAACCGGGCAAAAGAAGCTGTTCAAGGAGCCATGTGGCTAATGGGATCAGAAAAATTATCTGGATTAAAATAACTCTGAGGGAGGGGGGTGGAGAATCCATGTTGTTACATGGGCAGATTCTTTCCTTGCAGGTTGGGTTAAAACACTTTAATCTGTTCACATTGTGGGTATAGTTGGAGATGCTAGGTTTGGTACATTTTGAACCATTGCACTGGACACTTTGGTATGATTTTTGTCTGGAATCTTTTGGTTAATGTAAATCCTAAGTTAATTCTTTGTTGTCATTAAGTATTTCATTTGTATTTTTCCTGATTGTTCATTATTAAAGTAATTGCATGCAGTCTAGACTGTATATAGTTCAGCTTGCCTTGCAAGGTATTGGATGGTAATAAGCTTCTTTAAAATACGCTGGCCACTTAAATATGGAATTAACTATCAACTATTTATTTGTTAACTGAGGGATGTTCTGGCTTTACATCAATTTCACATGTGAAATAGCACAGTTTTCCTTTCAGAGGACTGTGACTTATTCAGGGAAAAATGTTTCTCTGTGTACTTTCTCAGAAGCACCCCAAGTTTACATTAGTGAAAAAGATTTATCTGACCTTCTTTCTTCCCCGAGTATTTCACAAGTGTCTTCAATCTCCAGCTGAAGGCAGTGTCCTATTATGTCACCAGTTAAAGCACTCAGCGTGTTTTGTTTTTAAACTCTTGGGGGTGGGGGAGTATAGACCTTGCTGTAGCTGAATTATTTTAATGATAGTGGATGCTCTCATGTATTTTCCAGTTACAGTGTGTTACTGTAACTGAGTCTTAACATAAGTAAGAGGAAAAAAAAGTGAAAAACTGCAAACTGAAACTATTTTGACAAACCTTTTGTCATTGCTACTTCTGTAGCAGCTTTTATTCTTCAGCTCAAGGCAGTAGTTGTACAATCAGACATAGGTGTTACATAGCGTGCAAGTCACGTGTACTGGTAACATTTAGGATTTGTTTCCTGAGCAGTTGCTATTCACAAAATTTTTTAATTTTTCTATTCTATAATATTGTCAACTTTAATTATGAGTTAATTATGAGTGGTTACATTTTACTCAGTTTTAGGCATTCTGCAGAACTGCTTTCTCTGTGTCTCTGTTCTGATTTTTTTTAATGTGAATTATGTTTCTAGTCTTCTGTTTTAAGAGAGCACAGTATTATGTACAGATGCTGCCTTCTGTGTAACACCAAACATTTGATGCGACCTAGTTTAAAAAAAAAGAAAAAGGTAACCTTCATCTGTTTGTACTCATTTTTAGGTTGCCTTGGAGAAGGTCTTCAACTTTGCTGTTTCAAATATATTTGAGACGAGAGTTGCTGGTCGAATGGTTGCCGATATGTGCCGAGCTGCAGTAAAAGTGAGAGAAAATGCTCTGATTTCACTTGATCTTTAGTTTAAAAAAAACAAGGCCAATACTACTACTCTTTCTTACATAAGATCTTTAATTTTTCTTGTAAATACAGGTTGTTCCTAATATTCTGTCTTTTCTAAAACTGGATGGTTACATATAGCAATATTTCAAGAGGTTAATTCACAGGTGTTTTTCTGCATTTATGTTAAATATAATATAGGTTTTATTGAATGTTTAAAAATGATGATGTCAGGCTGATTCTAGATTGAATTGGAGTTGAGCTACAGTGTATTCTTCCCTTTTTTCAATAATGTTGTTAGAAGATTTTTAGCAATGTATGCGCTGAGTTCCGTAAAGTGTCTTTTTTTAAATGGGCTATTTGTGATGCTTTTTCCAGTGCCGCCCTGAGGAATCCTTGAAGCTGTTTGTGCCACATTGCTGCAACGTTATAACTCACCTCACAGTCAGTAAGTTTATAAGATTTCTAATGTTATTTCCTTCGGTTTGGGTTGACTTTTGTTAAATATAAAAATAATACTTAAAACTTCTGTGTGTTTTCCCCAACTTCATTTCATCAATGGAAAATTAATTCTGTCCATTATTTCATCTAAAAAACCAACTGTTTATGTGTAATTTCAAGACAGAAGTCTATCAAGCTACAAGAGCATGCCTCTTTAAAGATGTGGCAGTTTAAAATGTCTCCAGACATTCCGCAATTCCTCAGAAAGCATTCAAGATGTTAAATTAGCTAAAGTAACTTCCAGTTGGATGTGGGTGCAACATGAATTGGGAGGTTGCGATAGAAGGGTTGGGAGTAAACTTTTGGGATTGCAAGCGTCTGATTTATGATTTAGCTTGCTGGGAAAACCTGACTGCAGCATAGTTACAGCAGTGCTTATCACTTGTTCCTCTAGATGATGATGTATTACACGATGAAGAACTAGATAAGGAGCTACTTTGGAATCTCCAGCTTTTGTCAGAGGTATCGCAAAGAATGTTCTCCCCGTGCATGTATATTATTGAATCCTGTTTAATACCCCTGAAAGGAGAAAATAATAAAACTTCTACTGTTAAAACCAAGTAAATGTTGTTTGAATGACATTGCATATCTTCTTTTTCTTACCTAATTTTAAATGGGACATAAGTGGCTGCTGTTTGAAGAAAATAAATATATGACGTGCATGTGGAAAAAAACTTAAGCATTTAATACAAACAATTATTGAGGGGTAGAGAAAGAAGAGGGATATGCACAGGGAAAAACATAAGATGCTTTTGGTAAGGATAAATCTTTTAAAATTCATCTCAAAACATATATAAGTATTGCTAGAAAATTTTGAACGGCATCAAGAAGCAACGTATATCACGGTTCTTATGCGTTAACTAAACTTTTCCAACAGCAATAGAAGCGGTAGTTCATGTGCAAGTTCAGTCTTTAATTTGAATTCAGTGTGATGTATGGAACAAAAGCCGGTGCAGGATCGGCTGAATGGCGTGATCCTCTCTTTAGTCCTCTAGAACTAAATCAGTTATGTTTACCTTTGAAATGTTTGTCTTTCCTATTAGATCACTCGAGTGGATGGCAAGAAGTTGCTACCGTACAGGGAGCAGCTTGGGAAGATACTGCAGCGAACCCTACATTTAACCTGTAAGCAGGGTTACATTCTGTCTTGTAACCTACTGCACCATCTTCTTCGTTCTGCTACACTTATCTACCCCACAGAGTACTGCAGTGTGCCAGGTGGCTTTGACAAGCCTCTTTCTGAATACTTTCCTCTCAAGGCAAGGATTTTCATTTATTTAGGATTAGAGGATTTGACTTTTTTAAAAAAACAATCATACACTATATTATTTGGTTTTATTTGGAGATTTCTGGACATAGGTAGCAGCAATGGAAAGTGTAATTGAAAGATGCTTTGGGCTTTGAAACGTATAGCAAATGACAAGTTACTTAAAATTATATCGATAGCAAAAAATGAATACTGACTGTTGTTTTGAATAGTTTTATAACATGACATGTTAGTGTTTTATGATGTGTGTTCTACAATGATTGCATGACTACAATAAGGTAATGCAAAGCAGGAGTGCCTGCTCGTGTTTCTTAATCTTGTAATATATGATGCATTTAATTGAGACCCAGCTATCGTGAAGTACAGTGGTATAAACAGTTACGTTTGGAGTTTAGCAGGAGAATTTTGCTGTTTGCTTTAACTTAAACATCCAGTCATAGGAAGCATTGTTGCACTGGGACAAACTTAGTCTTTCATCTGCTTTTGTGGATGAGAGCTGCAGCCTTTTCTTGTTCCTTTTCATATAAATGTGGTTATCAGATATAGCAAGTAATGGTGAGTGTGTGGAAAAATGATCACATCGGTGCAAAACAGTTGCAAGAAAGGAGATACGGTATTTTACAGGTAGGCAGAATAACAAATGAACAATGATTCCACACTGAGCTTGAGATAAAATGAAAGTAGAAGTGGCAATATTAAGAATTACTGAAACTGTCAAAAGTAATATGCTAGTCTGCTGTTAAGACTTCGAGGTCAATTTATCAGTATTACAGGTGAACAGTGCAGCAGTTTTTGGCTGACCTGTTTGAATATAAAACTGCGTTTTGCTGAAAAGTGGTCTTACATATAACTTTACAACTGCAGATAATCTAATGCTTGTTACTGAAAGTTAGTATAGTTTTATAAACTGATGGGAACATCCAGTTGGGCCAAATAGTCATTTAAAAACAAAGAAAAGAATCTTAATTAAATGCCCCAACACAAAACCCAATTTTTTTTGGTTTTTTTTTTTTAAATTCCTCCTCTGAAATTGGAAAAAAAAATCGCAATTACTTTGCTGTTCCACACATCAATGGCTACTTTGGAAAGTGTATATTATATCAACTCTTAATTGCCATTAACAGCTTGAGTTTGTCACTTACATGCTTCCTACCCTGCCCAAGGGTAAGACTGCAGTTCTGTCACTTTCTCAAGTAATATTGATGGAGGACTAGCCTGCTCTTCCAAGGAGGAGAAGTAATAGCAGGCTACATTGAGTAAGTGTATTACTGTAGTTCTTTGTACTTTTTGTCCAGTCAGATCAGTCAGGCATTTTAAGAACAGAGGGTGAAGTTTTGCAATATTAAATTACCGTGTAAAACTGGACAAAGACAGGAAATGGCCTTTGCAGTCTTCACTTACGTATCTATTAATTAATCGAGTCCTAAGCACAGAATTCATGTTTGAATAGAACTAGTAATAAATATTGACTTGTTTCTTCTAAGTACTCAAGTGATGTTAATCTACAGCAAGCCTGAGCTCTTTGTAAGCCAAAATACAAAAGGTTGTCTTTGTTACGGGATGACCTAGCATTGTCTGGAAAGTGCAACTTAAAAAACTTTGCTTTTTCTTATTTTTAAAATGAAAGTACTAAGTTTTCTGATTGTGGCTGAAAACTGAAAAGGAGGATTATTACATGGGCTAGCTTCTTTATGTTCTCTATAGGAGTATCAAAAGTCTGAGTTGTACTTTCTGAATTTGTATCCAGCCAAAGGAATGACACAGTTACATTTGAATTAGACCAGTACAGTCCTTTGCCTTTTAGTCCTTTCAAGTATGTGTTACTTCCCAGGTATATGTAGATGCTATAGGAGGTTTGGGATTTCTATTTGATTTTATTGTGTTCTTTTTTTTTTTTCCTGGAATTGTCAGGATAACTGCTTTACAGCAGTAACTAGTTCATGTGTTTGGGTTTTGTAGTAATATTAAATGCTTTTTTTAAAAAAAAAAAAAAGAAAATTTGCTTTGTAGTTTGATACATATGTCTTTATTTACTATAGGACTGGGGTAAACCAGGTGACCTGTGGAACTTGGACATCCAGTGGCATGTTCCTTCATCTGAGGAAATAAACTTTGCTTTTTATTTGCTGGATACTTTCCTTCAGCCTGAGCTCACCAAACTAGAACACTATGCAATTGGAAAGCTAGAAATGTCCAGGTTAGTGGTGATACGTACTATGGAGAAGTGCATTTATCCACTCATGTCTGTTTTAAGTAGTTATTGCCAATCATACTGGCACTATAAAAATTAAGGAGTAAAATACTGTAATGTTACAGTGTCTTGGATATTATTCCAAGTATCTTTCCAAGATTTTTTGCTGTTAAGAGTACGTGTAGCTTGGAAGTGCATTTCATAAAATGGATAACACGTTATGTTGAACAGAATTGCTCTATAAAAAAAAAAAAATCTTGAAGACACTTTATGTTGGTGTAAAGACGTTTCTGTTCTGGATTTTTTTTATACGCACCACAAATTATGTATACACACCACAAATTATGTTCCTATGTAACTGTAGTCAGCAATAAAAAAAGCTCTTCCTCTAGACTCCTATCCCGTTACTTCAGCACAACCATTTGTGTTCCTAAACTATGAAGTGGAACACAGAACTGATTCGGCTTGGAAATCTGCCTCTCCACTTCTTTCCTACGAGTAAAAGGTACATAGTGTGCCCCTGCAAAAGGTGTTGAAACTGAGGAGGTGGTGCAGAGTCAGTGGCGTAACAAATGGTAATGGAGGCAAGAATACCCTTGCCCAATCGTGCCACACTGTTAGCGTGAAACCGTGGCTTCGCAAGGATAGTTTCCTAAGCACAAGATAATCATGAGTTTAGTATGTGCTAAAGCATTTACAAGTATCAAATAGCTAAAGCTGTTTACAAGCATTAAATCTCGAACATTCTTTATTTCTCGTGTTAAACCTTCATGTCCTTGAAGCTATATATACTCAATCGATGTTGACAGCATGTGACGTTATACCTCATGCTATAAAGCGCAGCCCTACATGAAGCAGGGCATGGTGTATCAGAGTCCTAAATATTTTTCTGTCTGACCAGGTTCCCACTTTTTTAATCTGAAAAAGTTAATATACGCTTGACAAATCAATGCCACCAAACTGCAATCAGAAAGTATACTTAGACTAAAAGAAGAAAGGATATGCTTCCTATTTAAGTCTTTGGTTTATTTGTATGTTTGTTTATTTTGTTTTTTTCTTTTTCTCTTTGACACCTTGTATGTAAAGCTGCTAATTTATAACAGAATTGGACTTTGAGTTGGTCGAGGCTTCACTGTGCTACCTAATAGAAATAAATGGGGGTGATTTGGGAGAATATAGCCCAGTGCATGAATTGCAAATTAAATTGGAAGGCAAGCTAGCAAAGCTGCAAGAGTAGAGAATACCATTAGTTGCTGAGGGAGTAACAGTTGTGAATAAATGAGATCCTAGGTGAGTTTGCTATTGCTTTGAATTGCAATATTTCTGGAGCTTGATTTCTTGTCAAATTTCTTTTTTTTTTTTTTTTTTTTTTTTTTCAGTATTCCACAAAGTAATAATTGGAAATCAAACTTTTTTTATGTATTTAAGAGCTTCAGAGTAAGATTTTTCTATTACAAAAGATAAAATGAAAAAGCTTAACAGCCTTTGTCAAACACACGTATTTAGAGAGTTGATAAGTAATGCATGAGTACTAAGAGCCCTTCAGTTAGGGAACCTCTGTAGAGGGCTGAAAGGACTTATTTTACGAATCAGAGCCGCTTACTACAAAGATAAGAACAAAGGGCAAAATTTGTAACTATATACTAAATGCTACTACTTTAGATGAGACAGCTTTTAAAAGAATTCCTTAATTCTCTAAAATAACACAGAAAAAAGCAAGCTGTTCACATTGTTGCATTATAATTTATCTTCAGAATGTAAAATATTCACTCATAAAGAAAATATTCCCTCATCCTACTCATGGTGGGAAGGACTTTTCTTGGCCTTGGGGTAGAGAGTTATTTCATGGGTTTTATCTGAGATTTAGATAAAATGCTTCAAACCAGTTTTTTGGGGTAAAGCTGTCTGGTTTGAGATGAGTTTATCTCATTATACTGGTGTTTCCTTCACTGTTTCAGAATACAAAATCTCCAAACCAAGTTTTTCAGAAAACATAGTTGAATGTTGGGGCTCTGTAATAGAATTAGGTTAGATCAAAAAATTACTCATTTCTCTAGTGCTCCCTCTTGTGTTTAGAAGTGATGTAGCGAAAGAAAAGGGCTTTTATAAAACTTCACCAAAAATACGATTTATCGTTTGTATGTTTTCAAGCATTTAACAGATGAGTAATCGGGTTTTCTTCTTTGTTTAAGAGATGACGTGCAGCAGTGTCTTGCTATAGTGCATAACTGCTTGATTGGTTCTGGGAATGTTCTGCCTCCTCTAAAAGGAGAAAGGGTGGCTCATCTGTAAGTAAAAAATTTATTTTTATATTGCAAACATTCTTAGCAATTATATTCATACTGTTTTTTAGTGCTTATTGCTATTGTCACACAACTGCTTCCAATGGCTATTGTTAAGGAACTCTCATACTAGTATAAAGATACAGAAATTTGAAATAGTGACTTACACTAACACTTGAGTACTTAAAATATGAAA